TTAAGTGAATTCAGACGGGCCTTGTATCAGTTGCTACGCGCACCCCCTGTAATAGGCCTTGTCCAGTTTTAAACTAGTTTGTTTTGCTATTCACCACATAGTTTTGTCATTTTCCATTTGTTTTTTCATTATTTTACTAGTTTACTTTTAATGCATGAAAAATATAAAAAATGATCATAAATTCATGAGTTTTTTACCTGTTAATCTTGAACACCTTAGGAGATTTTAGAAACTAAATTTGCATTTTTAGGATTTATTTTGATTTAGTTATGACTTTTCTTATTTTAATATCCATTAAAATTGTGGAATTGCATCTCTATTCTTTTGGAATTTCATTGGGGTATCAAAACATAATATTTTCTCCCAATATTTTGTGACTTTCTTGTGGACATCTTGAGGGTTCCAAATATATTTTTCTATGATTTTTGTGATATCATTTGTATAGCTTTTGAACAACATCTTTGTGTATGATCCATATTACTTTACTTTGGAATGCCTTGGATGTTTACCTTCTGTTTGACCCCTTTCCTTTTGGATTTTTTCTCCATCCTTTTGGCTGTTGATTATGTACATATTAACGTGCTTCCATGATTTTTGTAGTGATTTTTAGATGGCGTTTGGTGCTGTTTTAGAATTAGATCATTAGACCTCTCATTTTAGGGTTCTTTTGTGATACCTTGTGACTTAGGAATTCTTTAGTGACTTTCCCATTAGGTTTGTCCCCTGGCCTTTCTACCATAGGTTCCTAACTCTCTTAGGTTCCCTTAGAAATTTTTATAGGATTTTAGGAATAATTTTGGTATTTTAGATTGAATTAATACTTAGACTAGTCTTAACATGCTTCTAACATAGCCTTTCCCTTTGATTGATTTCATTGATGACTTTTAGCATGAGATAATTTCCCCATTTCTTTTGGATGTTGCTTTATACATGTGTAGCTTCTGTATGCTTGATTGTGGAGCTTGATTTTGGTGTTTTGTTTCCTTTTGAGCCGCTTTCTTGTAGCTTATTCATTTAGGGATTAGGAAGAGCTTAGTTGTTCTCTCCTTCTTCACATAAAACATGGCTTGCTTTGTTTGCTTTCCATTCTCATCATATGATTCAAGGTCCCTATGTGAAAGCCTCATCTTTCCTTTGGAAGGATGTGTGGCATTTTACAAGAGGTAGAACCTTTGAGGATGCCTTTCTCTGATGACTGGTTGAGTGTCAGGAGGGATTCCTTTGGTTTCTTTCCTGCTTCCCATCATCAATCCAATATTCTTGATGTTTATTCTCTTCCATTGTGATGGAGCTTGTTGGAGCATGAATATGGCTTGAAGTTGGTTGCTTGCAGCTGTTTGATCGTTTGTTGTTTATCTGCTTTGCTGTTGAGTTGTTTGTCTGCTGTTTTTGCCTGCTGTTTCTTCTGACTGCTCTGCTTTGCTTGTGTGATTGATTGACTGTGTGTTGAATTAGACTAGGTTTCTCATATAGTGATCTAGGCCTAGGAGAATTCTAAAGGTTTAGAATAGCTCCCTTTGCTTGTCTGCATCTATAGGTTGAGGCTATCTCCCTCTGCTTGACTGTTATTGATTGGCTTTGCTTGATGGCTTAAGGTTGAGTCTGTCTCCATTGCCAGTGTTTTGTGCGTTGCCTTTGGGCTTGCTTGCTCTAGAAGTTGAGCTTGGCTCCTTCTCCTTGTTTGTTGCATTGCATGCATTTTATTTACAGTTGTTTCTGTACAATTATTTCTTTTGCTGTTGATTTCCTTTGCCATGTTCCCCTAGGAACTCTGACTTCTTTTGTTCAAGAGAAGTTATGACAGACATTAAGGTTCTAAACATGCATGATAACATTAGGTAGTTCCCTCCTAAATTTGCATGAAAACTTTAGGATTGGATCAGTCCCCCTTTAGCGCGTCTTTTCTCTTCTCATCTGCAAACAAATCAAAATACAGTAATAAAGGTTAATTGATGTCATGCGCTACGAGCCTTAAGCTACTTGAGAAAGGGTTGTTGAAGAGTTTCTTTTCAACAGTCTGGATGTTTAGTATGGTACCCTTTGGGTGACATGCGACGTATTCACTCTCAGGTCATAGTCTCTTGTGCGATATTAGTTGCAAACATCCATAAAAGATACTTCTCTAAAAAACAGAAAACAAAGATCAAACTCTTTTTGTTCGCTTGGACCTTTAATCCTTGGAAACCCTTTTTCAGAAGGAGAGTTATGTTAACTCCTAGTTCTACCGCAAACGGTAAACGCCTAAGTCTCCGTCGAGCGAGCTGCATACACCAAACAGCTGGAACCGTTTGTTAACCCTGCTCGGATAAAAAAGACAAACCTGTGTCTCTCGTTATCCCAAACTATGTTTGCTCTGATATTTTGCACCGTGTGAAAATACGTAGGCATGAGATGTGATATCTCGGCGAGCAACCTTCCCCCGTAGTTAGGCGAACTACGTAGACTCTGATTTCTCGTTCCAAACGGGAATACGTAGGCATAGAACTGCTGTGTTCTGCCGAGTCATTTTCTTTTCTTTTCAGACCAGACCTCTAGTGTAGATAAATGTAAACAAACCCGTCAGATAAACACAACAAGTCTGGATCCCATCGAGTACGATGGATGTGAGGGGTGCTAATACCTTCCCCTTGCGTAACCGACTCCCGAATCCAGACAATGGTTGCGATGACCTTGTCTTATACCTTTTCGTCAGGTTTTTCCAATCGTTTCCTTTCCCTTTCTGAGGGATAAATAACGAAAGGTGGCGACTCTTCTGTCTTTCCGGCCTCGTTTTTCGCAGTAGCGACACATACCTGACTTCAGATAACCTTATTGAATCATCATAGAGCTTAAATCTCACAGATTCAATACCTGCAATTTTGCAAGATTTGTTATTTCCCAGGAGCACATATCCACCATCTTGATCACATAGCTCCTCGAACAATTCTCTGTTTGGAGTCATGTGCCAAGTGCAACCTGAATCCATAATCCACTCTTTTCTCGAGTCACCACTTAAAACCATAAGAACATCAGATAAGTCGAAGTCATCTTGAACAATGGATGCGTTGCCATTATCTCCATGATCTTTCAGGTGTTCAGGGCACACCTTCCTTGTGTGACCCTCCTTCTTACAGTGATATCATCGAATACCATATGTTTCACCACTATAAGACTTCTGTTCACTTTTACCTTTCTTTTTGTCGAACTTACCATCCTTTCGCAAGAATTTCCCCTTAACGGCCAAAACTTCGCCTACCGTCGAAGGTTTATGCTCCTTTCGTTCGTTTAAGTCCTTAGAATACAAGGCTGATTGAACTTCTTCAAAGGTCAGAGACTCCCTTCCATACAAGAGTGTTTCTTTGAAGCGAGCATGTGTTATGGGCAAAGCACACAACAACAATAGTGTTTGATCTTCATCATCAATCTTCACATCAATATTTTCAAGATCAAGAATCCGCTTTTCAAGACCCAATTCAAAATGCTAACAACCCTAGAAATATTGACTAATGCATTTAGAACAAACTTCGACTACAACACGCATTACTCTGACAGCAACATGCGAACAGACTTCGACCTCATGCTTAATTTCTGTCGAACTAGAAGTTACCCTTCGATCATACTAGAGTTCAATCCAACATCTCACAAGACCTTTCAAGAAACAAATAACATATTCCATGTCACGTTGTTTCTTGATAGTGGTGTGAGCTCCACATGTGCAATTTGGAAGAATGCTTGGAGTTTCTAAATCTTCCCAAAGAGTCTTGAGTTCATTAAAGTAAGTAGTTACTGATTGTCTCATTGTCTCATTGAGCGATTTTGTTGTAGAAGATTTGACAAACGGAAGTGATCGCTATTAGAAAACCTGTTATGAAAATCCGCCCAAAGTTGTGTTGCATTGTCAACATACATCGTGCTCTGAGCGATATCTGGAGAAACCGTTGCAGAGCTCCAAGATAGTACAATATTGTTGCATCTTTCCCATGTACCAAAGAAAGCATCATCTTCTGGATGTGCGGTGATTTTGCCATTGATGAACTTGTTCTTGTTGAGAATATCTCTTTTCATCGAACGACTGCAAGATTCATAATTATTTTAAAATAACGGCGGAGAAACAAGAATTGCATCGGGGTTTTCATTAAAATGAAGGTAGTAGGTGCATGATTGATCAAGGGCTGGATTCTTGGTGAAATTGTTGTTTGTGTTCTTGTTAGTGTTGTTGTTATACTCTTGTTGGTGTTTTTGTTGTTATTGTGTTCTTGTGTGACAAAATCATCATAATCAGAATCCATCATAGTTGAAGTTTAAAGAAGGGGATTGTGAAGAAGAAGAATCTTCTAGTTACTCACTACTAATACCATAATACAAAATGAAGAATTGCATTGGATGTTAATAATTTAGCTTAACATTAATGAATAGAATGAGATGTTTTTATACAAGAAAGTTATCTTTAGAGTAACTAACTTATCTCAAATAACAAACTATAACTAACTATGGTAATCAAAACTAACTTAACTAACGATAGTTACAATGAATATATGTTAATAATTCTCGTCACTTTAATTTCAAGTCTTTTTAATTCGATCATCATTTTAAATTAAAGTATTTTCCTTTTCAATCAAGTAGCTCGTAGTTACTTTTTCAACCATCATATATATTTTCAAAAATCATCTTCACATCCATATGTAAGATTATATTTCGAATTTGATGAATTTTAATTTTTTTATTAACCAAAAAACACAATAAACAACAAAACAACATCTTTGTATTTAAAAATGCAAACAAAAACTAAAAACATAACATATATTTAAAACATATAACGAATATCTCACGATATGCTTCTCTCTCTCTCTCTCTCTCTCTCTCTCTCTCTCTCTCTCTCTCTCTCTCTCTCTCTCTCTCTCTATATATATATATATATATATATATATATATATATATATATATATATATATATATATATATATATATATATATATATATATATATATATATATATATATATATATATATATATATATATATTAAATTTGTGACTGAAACAAAAAGTGTTCGTTTGGCAGTAACTCTCTATGCAACATGTCATATTCCTTCAACAACAAATCACTCATATAAAAAGAGCTTCTTCCGGCATGACCATTTACACAAGCAGCCACATCAAACCCTCTTAGATTATTAACTTTTTGAGCTTCAGTAGCTTCATCGACAACTACACTTTCATCATAAGAATACTTACCGGTAAGCTTCTGCACAACAGACTTAAAATTCATGGCATCAGTTTCAACATACTCCGTAGTGACAATAACAATCTTTACTGGCTTCTTCTTATTACTGCAACCACCACTCGCCATAATTCACTTTTCAGATGATAATAATAATAATGTTTCACTTTTTGAAGCCTTTTTTTTTCTATGGTTATTGACGTATATTTTGTTTATTTGCATGGTTTGTGGATTATAAATTTATAGCATGAATATGGTCATGTAGGGATGAGTTGACAATTGAGAAAGTTAGATGACATAAGCTGACCGTTACTTTGTTATATGTGAATATGAGAAGTTAAAGGAATGAGTCTATGAAAAGTAGGATGTGGTCAATTAAAGATGCTAAGGAAAATTATTGTGTTGTTTTGTGTTATTTATGGTAATGGGAAATGATTGAGTGCTAGGTATTAATCTAACAAAGTTCTAGAGTATTCAATGTCTATCCAATTTCATCTTTTAAATTTATGAAACAAATATATAGTCTATGAGTTATCAAATAGTTTCTCTCTTTTTTCATATAATAAATTACCAATAACATTACTGACAAAAAGTTAGATAAATTATAGAGTGTGACATTTGTAATTGGAAAAATAAAACTTTACTCTTCAATTAATAAAATGATAGTCCTTAAATATGATAAAGTTTGTCTTTTTTTTAATTTATTAAATAATCTCACACACACACACACACACACATATATATATATATATATATATATATATATATATATATATATATATATATATATATATATATATATATATATATATATATATATATATATATATATATATATATATATATATATATATATATATATATATATATATTCTGATATATTAATTATTTAATAATAATAATTTTTAAAATAAAACCATAGAAAATATTAAATAGTAATGTGTATGGTTAAAGTCTTTAATATATTTTATTATTAAAATACATGTATCATAATTTGATTATATATGTTAAATGGATAAATTATCTATGTTTTAATGGGTAGATTTTTTCTAAGTTACCTTGATAAAAAGATGAGTAAATTATCCAATAAAGCGTGGAACTACTTATAAGGTGACAAGTGTAATTAGAAAAATGAAATTTTACTATTGAATTAATAAAATGAGATTAAATAGTAATGTGTGTGATTAAAATCTTTAATATATTTTATTATTAGATTACGTGTCGTAATTTGATGGCATATATATGTCAAATGGCTAAATTATTCATGATTTTAATATGTAGGGTTTTTTAAGGTTATTTTGACAAAGATTGGTAAATTATCCATTTTGATGTGGAGTCACTTAGTGGGTGACAAATGTAATTGGAAAAATGAAACTTTACTATTGAATTAATAAAATGATATTAAATAATAATGTATGTGGTTAAGATCTTTAATATATTTTATTATTATAATACATGTGTCATAATTTTGATTGGATAACTATCAATTGAGTAAATTATCCATGTTTCTAATGGGACAACCCTTAAATTTTAATCAGACTGTTTTGATTATCCAACTCTCTAAATTACAACAAATTCAATAATATATGGTTTGGTAAGACCACATTAATTTAAGACTTTATTAATTGTTAAAAAAATTGATTACAACATTTTAAAACATATATTTGAACAGATAAATGTTAAAATAAAGGTATTTGTAGCACCTCAAAATTTGTCCATTTTTTCTCTTGGATCTTGCCTTATGTTTCATTGCATTTCCATATTCATTTTTGCGTAGCATTGTTCTAGATAAAGGATTCAGGTATCATGGCTTGTTTCTCAAGAAGGAGGAGCATGTTTCTTCAACCTCAAGCAAGGTTTCTTCTTTGACTTTATGACATTCTCAAGCCTCAAAGCCCCTCATCCTCAAGTTTGATTCAATGAAGCATCATTTCAAGATCATATGTGGTTCACCATGTCTTGGTTGGCAAGAATTAATCAAGAGATTCAAAGTTTGTTCAAGGTAGTTGACCTAATTTAGCAATTTGTGGATGCTATGATCAAATAGGCATAACTTCTTCATTTTTCAACATCTTGAGGTGGTTCTTTTTATAATGGACTCTTGTCATCATCCCTAACAAGTTCTATTGCAAGGAAAGATCCAATTATGCTTGGAAAATCATCAAAAGTTTGAAGACATTATAAGTAATTTGGAGTTTTGGAAGGATTTTCTAGTTAACTTCAAAAGGTCATAACTTGTTCAATTTTCATCATTTGGAGCCTATTCTTTTTCAAAAATGAACTTGAAGATGTCCCCTACAATTTTGATTCAAGGTGGAAGTGCAAAATGTAACACCCTTACTAAACCCCACGGAAATATATGAATAATCAGAGTAAAGAATCATGCACTCACAAAAGGGCGTCACACATAACTTTCAAACATCAAAAACCACCTGTCATGCTCATTAACACTTTAATAAATAATCATACTTTTCAAAGTTTCACTTTGCATGTAGCATCGGATTCAATTATATCACAATCTTCGAAAAAGAAACATTTGAATTCACCATTTAAATCAACATCATTAGGAACTGAGGCCAACATCATAATAATTCGATAAATATAAAAACATAGTATGGAGTACATAATGTATCTCTAAAATATATACACCAAGCGATCCCAATGTTACATGACCAGAGCATGATAATTTGGCAAATCCTTCAATGAATTTCCGATAATATCCTGGCAAACCAAGAAAACTTCTAATCTTAATAACTGATTTTGGAGTCTCCCATTATGATACCGCTTCAACCTTCAACGGATCAACTGCAATACCTCTACTCGAAATCACATGACCAAGGAAACTCACTTCCTTCAACCAAAATTCACACTTAGAAAGTTTAGTATACAACCGCTTCTCTTTTAATATAGATAGCACAATCCTCATATGCCCGACATGTTCTTCTTCACTCTTCGAATAAATCAAAATATCATCAATGAACACAACCACAAACTTGTCCAAATAAGGATGGAAAATCCTGTTCATGTACTCTGTAAATACACCTGGTGCATTAGTCACACCAAATGGCATCACAAAATACTCATAATGTCCATACCTCGTTCTAAAAGCAGTCTTCTGAATATCCTCAGCCTTCACTCGGATCTGATGATACCCAAATCTCAGATCTATCTTACGAAACACACTTGCGCCAACCAACTGATCCATCAAATCATCAATCCTCGGAAGTGGATACTTATTCTTGATGGTCATCTTGCTCAATTGTCTGTAGTCCACACAAAGTCTCATAGAACCTTCTTTCTTCTTAACCAACAGAACTGATGCACCCCACGGTGACACGCTCGGACGAATAAAACTCTTCTCAAGTAGATCTTCAAGTTGAATCTTCAACTCTTTCAATTCCGATGCGAACATACGATATGGTGCCATCAATATCGGACTAGTTCCAGGAATTAAGTCGATCACAAACCCCATTTCTCATTCTAGCGGTAAATCTTTTATCTCATAAGGAAAAACTTCCGGAAAATCACGGACAATTGGTAAAGCATCAATTGCTCCATTTTCACCAATGCTCAAAGTTGCCATCAACAGAAATACCTTCACACCATCTTGAATTGATTCCTTCACTTACTTAGAGGTCATAAACAAGTCTCCTTCATCGTCAGGTTCAGGAAAAATAACCGTTTTATCAAAACAATTAATATAAACACGATTAAATTCCAACCAATTCATCCCAAGAATAACATCAAGTTGATCTAAGTGAAGACACACTAAATCAACTCCGAAGTCTTTACCAAAAATACTCAACAGACAACTCAAACACATAAAAGGGGTAGTTACTAAACGCATAGCAGGAGTATCAATAACCATACCTCCACTCATAACTGACCACTCAAGATTCAATCTCTTAACACAATCAAAAGAAATAAAGGAATGCATAGCTCCAGTATCAATTATAGCGACCAAAGGTATATCATTAATGAAGCACGTACCTCGGATCAACTGATCTTCGCTAGCAGTCTCTAATCCTGATAGAGCAAACACTTTCCCAATCCCTTGAGTCTTCTTTGACTTATCATACTTGGTACTAATGTGCCCTTGCTCACCACAGTTATAGCAAGTTACATTCGCACTGCTTCTGCACTCGACAGCCTTGTGTTCTGGCTTGCCACACTTGAAACACTTCTGCTTAACACTCGTGCACTCAGGAGCACGATGTCCTTCAACACCATATCTAAAACACTACACTGGAGTAGAAGCTCCTCCCCCACTCGGCTTCTTTCCAAATCCAGCTTTTTGTTTCCCCTTATCAGCAGGAGTCACATACGGCTTTCCTCTGAATTGACCTTTTCCCTTTTTATCATTTAAACTCTTATAGTGACTAGATCGAGCTCTACTATCTTCATCGTAAATTCTGCTTTTGTTCACCAACTTAGAAAATCGTCTAATTTCCTGATAACCAGCGACTTGCTTGATTTTAGGCCTCAAACCATTCACAAACTTGACACTTGGATCTCTCAGCATTGGTACTGTTGTAATGAGGACAAAACTTAATCAATTCCTCAAACCTTGTGCATACTCGGCCACAGTTGAGTTACTCTGCTTCAGCTCAAGGAATTCAATTTCCTTCTTACCACGCACATCTTTTGGAAAATACTTCTCCAGAAATGCCTCTCTAAAAACATCCCAAGTAACTACAACCTCATCTTCTTCAAATCTCTGACGAGTGTTACCCCACCAGTCCTCAGCTTCCTCTTCAAGTATATGAGTGCCAAACTGCACCTTCTGCGCATCTGAACAGTTCATGACTCGAAAGATCTTCTCGATCGCTTTCAGCCATACCTGTGTTTTGTCAGGTTCATGGGTTCCCTTGAAAATTGGCGGATTCTTCCTTTGAAACCTTCCCAAAGCATGAAACTTGTCATCGGTGTTGTTTCCAGCATTCACATTGGCTTGAGGATTATGTCCAATCGCTCCAGCCAACATCGCCAAAGCTTCGGAAATTGCTTCATCATTCCTACCGGCGACTATCATTCTGAATCCCAACAACAAAACTTCATAAGAACTAACAATATCGATAGCGCCTTACACACATATCAAATATACATAGGGAATAAACACATTAACAACT